TGTGTGTGTGTGTGTGTGTGTGTGTGTGTGTGTGTGTGTGTGTGTGTTTTGTTTTGGTCACCTTTGGGCCTCGGTGACCCCAGGTGACCATTTTGTGGAAACTGCGGCATTTTGGATTGTGGCTTTCTCCTCTTCTTTGAATAAACACTGAAAGCTTTCTTTCCCACTTATTCCAACTCTCGTTTGCCATCTGGTGCCTGGGTTGGCCGCATCTGTGTTTGCTTAATGACTTTAGGCGAAGGCCGAGTTTACATATGGGAAGAAGGAGAGGGCTTTGCTGATTTCTTCCATATGTTCATTTATTCATATATTATGATTTTTGTAATCTCACCAGCAAAGATCCCTTCAGACAACCCTTACACTGTTCCCTGGGACCCGCTCCTTTGTGTGTTCAGCTGGGAGTTGCCGTAAGAATATTTTTGCAGCGTCTGTTACCTTTAGCACAGCTCAGTGTGGCTTTTAGACAGGTACAAAATTAATGTTCGGGAGGTTCTTCTTCTTGAATGGAGGAGGAGGCTTTGAATGGAAGAGGAGGGTGATTCTGTGGAGTCAGGAGACCTGGGTTCTAGACCTTTCTCTCCATCTGTGAATGGTGTGAACTCAGACAAGCTCTGTGACTCTCTGGCCCTTGGTCTGCTCGTTGCCTATCAAAAGCCTTGGACTAGGTGTGCTCCCACACCTGCAGGTCCCACAGGCCGCAGCCTTCCCTCTCCTCTTCCCTCCTCTTCCTCTGGTCCTGGGTCCCCAGCTTTTCTAGATTTCTACCTCAAGTGCCAATGTGTGCTTTCCCTCTCCCCATCTTCCGAGCAGAGGTGTGCGTGGTGGAAAAAAGCCAGGAAAGACATCCTGTCTCCTGCCCAAGGCAGGAATGGAAGGCGATGAGCTCTATTCGTCGTTTTGCAAGAAGTCATCATGATTTCTTTTCCTATCATATACTTGGACCTTAGCTTAGTGTGACGGCTCACGAGCTCTGGAAAGACACAGACCTGGGTTGGAAACCCACCTCTTCTCTTCCCAGACTGTGGCCCTGAGTAGTTTTCTTCATTTTCCTAAGTGGGACCTTCCCTCTCTAAAACGGGACTGCTCCCTGCCTTGCAGCGGTGCCGAATGGGTAAGTGATCACTAATCCTAGCATGGTGTTTTGCATAAAGCAAGTGCTCACAAATGTTGGTTACCTCTGCGCACAGTGGATTCAGTGGTGAAATGCCACGATGCTGACACTGCCTCAGAGGAAGAAATGGACAACACTCACGGAAGATCACAAAATCAGTGGATGCCAAACCTTGACCTAGAACCTGGGACTTCTGACTCCCAGGCTGCAGATCTTTCTCATGAGCTGAAGAAGGCTGGGGAAAAATAGGGGATTGGGTTGGATTCACTGCAGACCAGATGATGGCTAAGGAAGGAAGAAGGTGGCCTGAGCCTTGCTCAAGAAGCCTGGTCAGGGGAAGAGAGATTCTCGAAGGGACCAGGGATACGTATGGGGTGCTGGCGGGGGGCTGGGCCTGCCTTTGTGAATGTCCGCAGGCTGCTCTGAGGGGTTTTCTGTGTCTTCCTCTCCTTCTCTCACCCTCTGTCCCAGCCCCTCTCCTTCTGCCCTCAGTCCTTCGTGACTAGTCTCTGTGCCCAGGACAGTGAAACCCAAGAGAAAAAAAGTTATTTGAATGTATGTTTTTGGATGTGGCTGAACAGACAGGTGAGGCTGTGTTTGACAGTTTAGGCAGGAAAGCTTTGTGAGTTTATTTGAAAACGCCAAATTAATCTGAGGTAATTGAGAAATAATCTGCAGGTCAGAGGCAAGTAGAGAACAAGAAATTATCTTGCCCACAGCCTCCTCCTGTGGGCCTCTCTTCTCAGAAGCATGAGGAAGAGCAATGTGGGAAGGCTGAGCTGTCTCTAAATCCTTTTTCTGTCAGAGAGCAGTCAGAAGCTGAGAGATGAGGGTTCTCTCCTGCTCCAGGGACTGTTTCGGGGTATGGAGAGGCCAAGGGGAGGGAGTCTTGGCCTTCCTGGGCCTCCACCGCCTCATGTTACGTATATGTGCACGTATAACATGGTGGGATGTGTGTGCATGCATGTAGCCTGTATGTTCTGGCTTAGCTGACATTAAAAGGACGTACAGGCATTAGCATGCATCCAGCAGAGGACCGAACTACACACAAGGAAGGAAAACGACACCCGTGAGGAATGAGAATGGCTGGAGCAGAAAGAGCGAGCAGGGCAAGTGTGGCTGAGAGAGAACCCAGAGGCAGGCTGGGGCACACCAGGGGACCTTGCAGTCCCCTTTCCTACGGCACTGGGAGGCCGGAGGTGCCACCACCTGGCCGCCCTGCTGCATTCAGTCTGGCACGAGCCAGGTGCAGAGGTCCGGGGGGAATCAGGGTGGCGCTGGTAAGTGAGCGAGATGCACACAGATGAGGGGTGTTCTGGAGGCTTGGGTGATGGATCTGATGGGGTGTTAGGGAGAAAAAGTTGTCAGAAATACTCAGGAACTCTTAGGTTTCTGGGCTTAGGCATCTGCCACACACACGCCCCCACCCCTGCCCCCCGTAGGGTAGGTAACGGGTAGATCCCAAGAGGTGTTTGCTTAGAGTCTGCTTCTCTAGATCTGACAGGGCTCCTTCCGGGTCCCTGGGTAAAGGCGAAGCAGAGCCTCAGCCTGGCCTACTGTTCAGAGAACAACAGCTACAAGAAAAGAACATCAAGAGAAATGATGTTGCAAAATTCCTCCCAGACCTGGCCAAAGCTTACATCAGCCAGTCATGTGCATTTTAAGCTCTATTATTCAGTTAAGAAATGGATTTGTCCTTGTAAGTGCTGCAAGATCTGGCACTTAACACCTGAGATGGGAAGGCACTTTTTTTTTTTTTTTTTTAAAGTAGCAGAAGCTCTGGACAATCTGGGAGTTATAAATGTAACCTCTGGACAGCCAACACAGGGCCTGCGGCTCAGACCTTTCCACTGAGGCATCTCCCAATTTCCTTGGGGCGGTGAGGGGGAGATGGAAGGACAGGAAAAATGCCTGTCAAGACAGAAGACCTGAGACCATCGGCAAAGGTAAGGCCCTTACACATCTTGGAGTAAAACTACGGCTGCCTGGAATCCTGTAAGCCTCTATCTGGAGGAGGGGGGAGGACTCCAGCCAGGAGTGAACGTGTATAAGATTTGGGCAGGGAATTCACCGTTGAGGGAGGCAGTCAGCAGCTTTTTAAGGCTGGAATGCAAGGGGGGGGTGGTCCTTTTAAATCAGAAACTGGAAGGAAACTTCCTCCACCTCCCCATATTCATCTCCGTCAGGTTCCTACTCAGGGACCAGGTTTTACCTCCACCTTTGTGGAAAAGGTAGAGACAGAAATAAGAAGCATCACCACACATGAATCACTCACTAGTAACTGGCTAACATTCTTGGGGACCCTAAGTGCTTGGCACCATGTCACAAGTGTATGTGCCTTACCTCATCAATATTTGCAGCAAGCCTGAGAGGTGAGTATTATTATGGACTCTAATTTACAGGAGAGGAAAAGAGAGGTGAACAGAGGATAAGTGACTTGCCCAAGATCACCCAGCTAATAAATGGGAGTAGGTTCAGGATTCAAACCCAGGCAGTAGATTCCATTTGCTTAAACTCAGTGGCTACCAGAGGGCAAGGTGGTGGGCATTGGGGAGGAGGGGGGGGCATGTGCATTGTCTCTAGAGAATTAAACTATAATAATAAAATTAGTTAAAAGATCCATCTTTTTTTATTATCACGTACCTTAACAATATATGAGTTGTAAAATCTCCCCTCTAGGGCAAACCTCTCCTACTCGATGTATCTTCCACCCCTCCTAAGCCACTGGTTTAACCATTCTAGAAGGCAGGAATTACAAGTCACGTTTTGCAGATTTCTAATCCCATCCGAACACTCACGTTGCACTTTGTGCTGCTCTTTTAAGTCCTAACAACAAGTACACTGGTTATATGCACCTGTGTTTCTCTCTTGTGTATCTCTGCCCTTGGACCATCAACTCCATGAGGGTAGGGGCTGTGTCTACAGTGCTGAAGTAGCTGACTTAACAAGCTGGTGGTGTTTACGCGAAAAGATATTCGCTGAATGAACATATGGGTGAAGGAATGGTCAATCTAAAATGCCACTTCCTCTATGAAGTCTTCCTTGAGGGAAGAAGAGCCTTGCTCTTCGGCGAGGAAGGTGGAACAGGTGTTATTTGCAGAAGCTGTCAAAATGAGCTGGCCTCTTCTGTCCAGAGTAGCCCTGGGAGTTCCCTGCCAGGTGTGAAGAGCATGGATCCTGGTGTAGCTTTGAGCTGCAGGGCACCCCAGCATTCCTTATGGACCCACCATTCCCAGGGAGAAAAGACTCCCCTCCTAGCACTGATATTTGTGAGCTGTTTCCAGACCTGTTTAGGGCCAAAAACTACTCATACTAAGGCACAGATTTAGGATTATCTTTAGGACTGCACAATCCTTAAGATCTAGATACCAAAGATCCTAGCGTGTTCCTTAGAGAATCTATTTTGGTTTTGGCCTGTTTCTAAGTTGCTAGATAAATGTAACTCTACAAACATCTCTGTGACTTGGGATGTTGTTTTTATTTTGAAATGGGAACATGTTCGTTTATAAGTTCATTGAAACTAAGTTATATTTTGCTAAAGCACTATGGAGTCAGCATCCCTTCAGCAGGCCTCGTCAAGCCCATTTGTTAAACAAGACTGTAATCCTGTGTAAAACATTCTAACATTCTAGATGTCATGCTGTACCGTGTCCTCTTTTTTTTTATCCTTTAAAATATATTTTTGTTATTTTGCCCCTAAAAATAAAATGATGTATGTTCCAGGCAACCTTTCTGGGTGGTCCACCGTGAGAGAGGAGTTCCCAGGTCTCCTCTGTGAGGTGGGTCACGGTGAGGTCAGTCCTCATGCTCAAGGCCAACGCCCAGAAGGGAGGCTGCGAGAATCGCTTGGTAAGGTGGCACGGGGGGGCGGGGGGTGGTGCTCAGGCGCTCTAGCATCATGGAATGCTTTAGAGTTTAACATGGAGTCTGGCAGAGAACCGGCAAAAACGAGGTCACATGGAAAGTTTCCTGAGCTCCCAAGTCTGCCATGATATATTTGAAAAGTTCCCTGCGGTTGAGGGAAGGGTCCCAAAGAGGAAAGTCCCCAGTGAACGGTGCCACCAGAAAGCTTGCCTATTTCTCTGACTCACTACTTGGAGTTTTCAACCTACAAGACAGTTTAACGAAGGCAGTAACTCGAGAAGATGAATGCTTACACAGTCGTTAAGTCTGGCAAGAAGGGATCAGTGGAATAGCCCGTATCCTACGAGGCATGTTTATTATATCAACTACCGCTAAGATGGGGAGGCCGAGAGCAGGGTCCCCAGGGAATGGGACAAGGCGGGGGTGAGGGGGAGGAAGAGAAGTGTGGACAGAGAGGGAGCTGGAGGCCAGAGAGCTCTCTACAGCCGTTCGGATCTTAAGGAGTGGGAGACAACTGGATCCCAGGTGGAGTGGGCTTTGGAAGTATTTCTTCCTTTTGCCCAGTGATCATCCTACCCTTGCCCCCGTCCCGCTTCCACCCTCCCTCTCTCCTTTCCATCTTCCCTCCCCTCCCTTCACATGTGTTTATTGAACATCTACCATGTGCCAATTACTATTTTAGGCTCTGGCAGTCACTAGTGAACAAAGTCAGCATGGTCCCCACCCTTGGGAAGCTTAGAGCCTTGTAAGGGAGAGGGACATAAACAAATATTCCGCCAAATATCTGTAATCACACATTACACTAAGTGCTGTGAGGCGGGAGGACAAGGGCTATACCACGTTGTGTGAGGAACAGTAGCTTAGACGGCGGGGCAGGGGGCGGGGGTCAGGGCACCCTTCTCTCTGGAAGTGGCATTTAAGCTCAGAGCTGAAGGAAGAGGAAGACCTAGGTCACGAGAAATGTGTGTGGGGGGGGAGGGGCAGCATTACAGCCAAGGGAATAAAAGAAATAATAACAACGATGATAAAAGCAATAGGTAAGACTTACTGAATGGTTACTATGTGCCAGTCACTACTCTAAACATCTAATAACTGTTCATCTAACCCTCACAACAACGCTGTGAGGCAATTTACCACTATTGTCCCCATTTTCCAGATAAGGAATATAACGCCCAGAGAAGTGAAGGAGCCTGCCCATCACAGAGCGAGAGGGTAGAGAAACCTAGATAAAACTCAGGTAATCTGGCTCCAGGAAAGGAACTGGGGAACGAAGGGAGTGAAGGGAAAGACAGTGAGGCTGAGCTGTAGCAACTGCAGGGGTGGAGGGAGAGGGTGCAGCCAGCCACTCAGAGGCCATCTGTTCTAGAACTTTTCCTAAATTTGATGGTGGAAACCCACTGCAGGGGCCTTAGGCGGGGTGAGACTGACCTTTTCCCCCGGGCCCTCTCCGGTTGCAGTGGGGACGCAGCCTGGAGGTGCCCAGCTGGGGGAGCAGGGCGGGAGTCCAGGTGGGAGTAATGGGTTTGCGTCAAGTCCCCGGTTACGTAACTAACCAACCAGCTGAGCTTCTCAGTGCTTTCCTGCCCTGCCCTCTCTTAGCCCTGTCCCCACCGCTCTCTCTGTCCCTGCCCCTCTCGGCAGCAGGGGGAGGACTGCCTGGTAAGACCCCGCTCCGGCTCCGTCTGCCAAGCTGCAGACTCTGGCATTCGGTCACCTTCTCCTCGGCACCCGTCCCGCCTCCCTGACTCAGGAGCCTTCTCTCCCTCGCCTGTGTGCCCGCCGGGAGGGAGCAGCTGCCGGTATCTAGAACCCAGCTGTTCTCCCAACTTCTCGCAAGTGTTTTTTAGCGTCAATGCTTCTAATTAGTTAAAATAGGAAGGGGGGGCTGGTAAACAGAGGAGCAAAAGAGAGACCTAATTTTAGCTGTAGCCAAAAGGACTTTCCCTCAAATACACTGTGATCTCAAAATACTTCGCTAAGCACATATGGACATGGTGGGGAGAGGATTTGAAGAGCTACAGAAGGAACACTCAAAGCCAAATGGGACAGCCCCTGCCTTCCCGGAACGCAGGACTGGATCAGAGAGGAAGGCGATGCAAACAGACTGAATCCTTACCCTGTGCCAGGCACTGTGCGAGCGCTTCGTGTGCGTCAACTCAGCAGTGTGTTTCCTCTCGCCAGCCAGAAGATGCTGCGGGGGCTAGGATCACCCTCATCTTACAGAGGCGGGAACTGAGGCGCTGTGGGGCTGAAGGTGGTGTGTCCAAGATGACACAGCTAACCAGAGAGCCAGGATTTAAACCTGGGTTTCCCTGACTTCAAAGTGCCTAATGAGAGGAAGATGGGGTCTCCAACTGAGCACACACTGAGGGACCTGGGTGGACAGCTTTAACAGAGATGCAGGGCAAAGCATCAGGACAAAAATCCAGAGGATGCCGGCTCTCAGGACACTTAGTGGCATTACTGTAGAAACTGGCATGGATCACTCAGGGCCTCGACGTTCCTGAACCCCCTTCCAGCCCTCAGAAGATGTCAGGAACAATTTACAGGTAGATAAATCATTGGTGAATGCCCCCCACCTTTCACTAGGGCCAAAAAAAAAAAAAAAAACCCACAAAAAAGAAACAAAAAACCCCCCGCTTTCTGCAATTAAAGAAGATGCCATTTGACAAAGGAATCTGAACTGGTTAATCCCTCCCCGCCCCCCCGCCCCCAGCCCGCCTTCCTAAGGTTGTGGTGGAATCTGGGCTCCTTCAGAAAACGGGCCACCTGGTAGGACTCATCACGTCAACTTCCTTCATCTCAGTTCAAGCTTAAAAGGCCTCTTCACTGGGAAGCTCCCCAGTGAGGTTTTCCACGCACATCTGGAGACTTTCCACAATAGGCCTTTGAAGCGGCCTGAAGTATTCCGGGAAGCCAGGCTCACTGGACTGAGGTTTAAAGAGCAGAAGCCCACATTTATTTTTCTTTCCCGCCTTCTTTGACAAAACTCCCCCAGCAGTTTGTGGGCCCTCTCAGAGCGGCCCTGATTTTCAGCTTACTACTTTTAGGGCCGAAGTCTTAAAAAAAACAAGAAAGCACATTCTGAGGAAGCAAGCACTGATACCATAAAGATCTGTTTCTGTGTTTGGCTCCTCAGTCAGACTCTGAGTCGTGCCTTAGTCATTGTTGTCGCAGAAAGAAAATGAACTCTGGACCGAGACAGACTTGCTCCATCACTCAGCATGGGTGACATTTTGTCAAGTCACTCAGACTTTCGGATGGGTGAAGGGAGTTAATAGTCCCTGCCTTGTGTGGAGTGCTAATGGTCATGTGAGGTGGGGTGAGAAAATCACTTCACCCATTGTCTGCCCTGGACTTGATCAGGCCTGTGCTGTTCCCCCAGCCAGGATGGCCCTCACTCACATCGGCTGCCCCTACTCATTCTCTACAACTCAACTCAGGTGATACTTTCCTCTTCTGGAAATGTTTTACCTTCCTCTTACCCAGGCCAGTTCTGGCACATGGCTTCTTATTTTTTTAATTTAAATTCAATTAGCCAAGGTATCACCAGTTTTTGGTGTAGTGTTCAATGATTCATTAGTTCAGTATAACACTTAGTGCTCATCACATCACGTGCCCTCCTTAATACCCATCACCCAGTTACCCCATCCCCCCACGGTACGGTACGTGGCTTCTATGCCTCAGCACCTCCCTATCCTCTAATCCACAGTCTGTGGTTTTTTCCATTTTCATTGTCTGCCCATCATGCCCCCTACCACCACTGGAAAAACTGTAGACACATGGTGTCTTCTTGTTCATTGTTCTATCTCCTTACTGAGCACAGTGCTTGGTACATTGATGTGGCTCAGTGAATATTAACTGATTAATTAATTTACTTAACATATTTATTAAGCACCTACTCTGAGCAGGGTACTTACTCTAGCTACTGAAGATACAGCAGTGCGTAAAAGAGACACAGCCTCTGCCTTTCCATAACTTTACATCCCGGTATGGGAAGTCAGGAAATATGTTAAGGAGGGCGCCTGGGTGGCTCAGTTGGTTAAGTGTCTGCCTTCAGCTCAGGTCATGATCCTGGAATCCTGGCATCGAGCCCCACATTGGGCTCCTGGCTCAGTGGGGAGCCTGATTCTCCCTCTGACTGTCCCCCCTCTCATGCTCTCTCTCTCTCTCAAATATATAAATAAAAAAATCTTAAAAAAAAAAAAAGGAAATACATTGAGGAGATAGATAGTTGGCCCTTGAACACTGCAGGGGTTAGAGGTGCCAACCCCCTACACAGTTGAAAATCTGCATATAACCTTTGACTCCCCCAAAACTTAACTACTAATAGCCTACGGTTGACTGAAAGCCTTACTGTTAACATACACAGTCATTTTATACATATTTTGTATATGCATTATATGCTGTTCTTACAATAACAGAAGAAAATCTTAAGAAAATCATAACGAGAAAATACATTTACATTACTATACTGTATTCATTCAAAAAAATCCACACAGAAGTGGACCTGCTGCCCAGTTAAAAACCCATGTTGTTCAAGGGTCGACTGTACAGAAAGATTTCTGGTGATAGAGCTATCACCATGTAAAAACGTTAGAAGTCCTTACTCCCTTCCTTCCAACAAGAAAAAAGCTAAAAAACTGAAAATCACTGATCTTTCTTGGATCAACTGGAGAACTGAGGTTGCAGGACAAGCCACCACCCTGAACTCTGGAGAGACAAGAGAATCCAGACAGTCACAGTTGAGATCATCTTATCTAGAGCAGAAGCCACTGGAACAACAAACTGGTAGGGGCAATTCAGTGATAATTTTGAAGTGCTAGGGATGAGCATGAGACTAAGAAACTTAAGGGCTGCAGTCTTAGTGGGAGGCCCACAATGGCATGGGTTTTACTGCCAAGAACCCACCGGTTCTCACTGTGAAGAGGCAAGAATGTTCCCCTCTTGACTCCAGCAGGGGGAGAAAAAGACTAAACACTGTGAAGTATGCCAGAGTCTAGTATACTCTAGCTTTCCTGTCTCACCCAGGAGGGAGGAGAAAAGGCAAGAAACATTAGCGAAGGTCACAGTCCAGGGACAAAGGCTCACTAAAAGCTAAGATTTAATCAAAAGATCATAGAGTGCTTTCCCTTCCCCACACCTTAAAACTACACCAACAGGGCTCCAGTATAATACATTATAGCAAAAAGAACTACAAGACACAGCCTCTATCTTAGGAGAAGCTCCTCGGGAAGCTCAAAGACTGAGGGGCAGTTTAAGACTAAAGCAGGAAGCAGCCAAGAAAAAGAAGCAAGAGGAAAAGAAATAATAAAGAGATAAAAAAATATAAAAAGCAGAAATCAATCAAATTGAATACTGGAAAATAATAGAGAAAATGAATGAAACCAAAAGCTGGTTCTTTAAAAAGACCAGTAAAACTGAAACTTTTAGCCTGGCTAACCAAGATAAAAAGAGAGAAGGCACAAATTACTAGTATCAGAAATTAAAGAGAGGTCATCATTACTGATCTTATAGACATTAATCAGATAATATAAGAATCTGTAAAAGTCATCAACAGCAAATCAAATCCAGCTACAAACAGAAAGAACAACATATCACAGCTAAGTGGGATTTATTCTAGGTATGCAAGGATGGTTTGACATTCAAAAATCAATAATGTAATTCACCACATCCACAAATTAAAGAATACAAATCATATAATCATATTAACAGATGCAGAAAAAGCATTTGATAAAATGCACCTTAATGTTCATTCTTTGCACTACAATGTTCAACGGGTTTTTTTTAAGAGATTTTCTTTATTTGCCAGAGAGAGAGAGCAAGAGCAGGGGGAGCGGCAGGCAGAGGGAGAAGCAGGCCGACACGGGACTTGATTCCAGGACCCCGGGATCGTGACCTGAGCCGAAGGCAGATGTTTAACCAACTGAGCCACCCAGGTATTCCCAACGGTTTTAACAAATGTACAAGGTCACATATTTACAATGACAGTATCATGATAGTTTCACACCCCTCCCCCCAAAAAAATCCCTGTGCCTCGCCTATTAAATCCTCCCCCCACTCTCCCCAAGCCTTTGGCAATCTCTGATCTTTTTACTGCCCCAATGATTTTGCCTTTTCCAGAATGCCACATAAGTGGGATCATGCAATATGTAACCTATAATGGAATGTGCTGTATATGTGACAAGTAATCCCACTGTATTATGAATGTATGAAATAATCTCACTGAAGGTTGTGGGGGATAAAGGTGTTGACCTAAGGAACTTTGGAAATGAGAAGAATTTGTAAAACTGAGGGCAAAAGAGACTGTACATCAGCACTGTACTCCAGGTGATAAAGCTGTAGCGCACAGGGGTATGGGTTAACAACTCTGGTATTTCTACAGTTGTATCCCAGAACTGCACAATTACAATTAAGGAAATGTAGGCTTGATGGTAGGAGCCAGGTCTCTCACTATTTGAGTGGGAACTTATAGATAAGCAAGAGAGGGAGGCTAGGATGATCCATGTGGCAAGAGATTATAGTTGGAGATAAAGTAAACTAATGGTTAGCTTCATGTAGACAGAGATAATTGCATATATACATATTTATAGATATGGGTATACACACAGATTAGTACACACACAGGTATTGGCAAGGAGGGTCTAGAAGCAACAATGGCTCGGTAGCAATGAGCACACTTAGTGCCCAGATCTTGGCTTCTTCGATGATTCTCCAATAAAAAGAATCAGGGCTCCTTAGAGTAGTGGCTGATTCTAGTACTGGGGCAGGAAATAGACAAAATGAGCTTGGAGGATCTTGTAGTGTCAGAAAGGAAGGAATTAATAAAAAAGAACATGCACAGGGCGCCTGGGTGGCTCAGTTGCTAAGTGTCTGGGATCGAGCCCCGCATCAGGTTCCCTGCTCTGTGGGAAGCCTGCTTCTCCGTCTCCTACTCCCCCTGCCTGTGTCCCCTCTCTTCAAATAAATAAAATCGTAAAAAAAAAAAAACACACACAGTTAGTGGTCATTTGAGAGAGATAAAGGACCCAACTGAGGAGTTCCAATGGCCAAAACCAAAAAAACTGAAGAATAGAATAAAGTAGTACTGGATTATAACCCCAAATATCACATAAATATCTATGAGTTCACACTGTTCTAAAGAACTTGAATGAACAAATGAATGAATGAGAGAGAAATGTCCCATGCAGAAGAATCCCAAATTTATGTAGATATTCCACCCTTGAGGAGGTGCAACATGACTTCCTTATGTGTGGGCTGCACATAGTGACTTCTTCCAAAGAGTATAGGGAAAGAAGAAAAACAAAGTAATTCTACAGTGGAAAAAGTTGGCAAACACTATCTCAGCTAGATGATCAAAGTTAATACTAACAGTGATAAGTCATGTTGATAGTATGTATCTTGATATAATGTGATGAGAATGGCACTTTGTCTCTGTGGTCTTCTTCCCCAAAAACCTTAACTCTGGTCGAATCACAAGAGAAATATCAGACAAATTCCAACTGAGGAGTATGCTACATAATATCTGACCAGTACTCCTCAAAACAGTCAAGGTCATCAAAAACCAGAGAAGCCTAAGGAGACATGATGACTGAATGTAATGTGATATTCTGGATGAGATTCTGGAAAAGAAAAAGGCCATTAGGTAAAAACTTAGAAAACGCTGAATAAAGTAGGAACATTAACTAATAATATACCGCTACTCGCTTACTCATCAAAACATACCTAAGATGGTAACAATAAGGGAAAGATGTCAATGTTAGGGGAAACTGGGATGGGGCTTATAAAAACTAGAGTTCCACAATTTTTCAGTAAATAAAAAAACTGTTCTAAAAAAATAAAGCTTGTTAAAATAACATATATGCATGTACATATATACACGTACATTTATTATGTCAGGTGGTTCTGTGTCCTAGAAGAAGACAAGTTGCGCGAGGACGATGGAGGATGAGTGGCACAGGCAGTCTCTCTGATAAAATGGTATCTGCTAAAGCGATATCAGAGCAGAGATGGGAAGGGAATGAGGTTGGGAACCATGTAAATATCTAGGGAAAGAGAATTGCATGCAGAGGGAACTGAAAGTGTGAAAGCCCTGAGGTTGGGGATGTGTTCAGTTTGCACAAAGAAAAGAAAGAAGCCCCAGAGTAGGTGGAGTGGCCTGGGCCAGGAACAGAAGAGCAGGTGATGGAAGTCAGAAAGGGGGTGGGTGCTGGACCAGGCGGGCCTTATAGGCCAGAGGAAGCAGGAAGCAAGTGAATCAGTAAATGAGATGAATGAAAACTCTTCATCTTGAAATTTATTCTAGGTACTCCAGCCTTTTTTTTTTTTTTAATTTAAGTGGTCATCATAATACACCTCCCCGCGCTCCCCTCCCCCACCGAGAGCACGCACAAATATTCTACCATAACAATGCCAAAATTTCTTAGCCTGCATTTATTCTGACAAAGCCCTCTAGTCCTGTAGAAGCTGTCTAAGGCAGGCCATCTCCTCTCTGAAACAAAATCTCAGATGGTTTCTAGGCAGGCAAAGTGAACTGAAGGCTTGAGGCCAACTTTTCACATAATTCAATTTAAAAGAAACTTCCATATGCCTGAAATCTTTAGATAATGGAAAGAAAAGTGGATTTTCATCTCTTCGTTATTAAAGTAATTGGCTCAAACTCTCATTTCATTTTGTACTTGTAGGCACAACCCAGAGTCTGTAATTAGTTTCAAACCACCAAAGTAGAAACAGAATAAAACCTCAACTAACTGAAGGACCTTTTTTTCCTTGACATACTTGGCTTTCAATGGCTACAGGCAAAAGGCACAAATCCAAAAGAGTAAGCTTATGACTGGGACTTGTTTAAAAAACAAAATAACTTGCGAAGTATGTCTTGGGTGAGTCCAATATGAGATCCTTACCAGCCACCTTCTCTATCTCTACTCCTAGTCCCGCGTTATGAGAGACAGTATCCTGGATGAGGGCAAAAACCCCACTGGTCAGAGGACAGCCCACCAGGCTCATCACTTGTGTGCCAAGGTAGGCACCAGAACTCTCACCAATAAAGATGAAATAAAAAACACCTTTCTGTGAACTTTCCTTTAACCAGAAATGTACATAAAGTCATTCTACCATATGAGCATGGGAGTAAAACATGGCTCTCTCCGGAGTGGGGACTCCATCTCGGAATATCTTGATCTATATATGGGTAATTGGTGCCACACTCAATCACTGGACACGTCTTTGGGGAGTTAACCCCTCTGAACCTCAAATTTTCCACCTGTAGAATGATAATAATGGTGTCTGCCTGTGAAGCCCTTATCAAGGTGAAGTGAAATAATGTCCCTAAACCCCTAGAACAATGAGTGTCTAGTTTGTTTTTTTAAAAGATTTTATTTATTTCTTTGACAGAGAGAGACAGAGGCGGGGAGAGGGAGAAGCAGACTCCCCACTGAGCAGGGAGCCCGATGCGGGGCTCGATCCCAGGACCCTGGGATCACGACAAGAGCTGAAGGCGGACGCTTAACTGACTGAGCCACCCAGGAGCCCCAGTGTCTAGCTTATAAGTGATGATGTGTGTTGCTTTCTTTCTTTCTTTCTTTTTTTTAAAGATTTATTTATTTGAGAGAAAGAGACAGGGCGGGAGGATGAGAGAGAGGGAGAGAGAACCTTAAGCAGGCTCCCTGCTGAGCATGGAGCCCACATGGCTTCGATCTCATGACCCTGAGATCACGCCCTGAGCCAAAAACACGAGGTCAGACACTTAACTGACTGCGCCACCCAGGTGTCCTTGTGTGTTGCTTTCTTTTATAAACATACTTCTGTAGCCTGTATTTGTACCTGACATGGATCTGGCAAATAGCTGTCTTCCTGATAAATGGTGAATACTTCACTGTGTGAATGAACTGTCTCACCAGCGATTCTTTCTGTAACGTCAACGTCATAAAGTCAGGAATGATACTTTCTGTAGTGATACTTACTATGGAGCCAATAATCAGTCATTTATTGAGGACTTCCTACTGGTCAGAGGCTGTGATCCACACTCACACACATCACTTCACTGACTCCTCGCAATCGCCTAAGGTAGGTCTTCTCTCAGCTCCACTTCACACACAGAGAGCTGAAATGAGCAATCTTCTAGGATGGCCCAGCTAGCAAGTAGCAGAACTGGATTGTGAGCCCACATCCTTCTGATTGCAGAGGCCATGCTCTTAACTGCTAGGGCACCCTGTGCAGTTATTTTACAGCATATTTAAAATACAAAAGGCACTTTTGCCTTCTTTTGTTAAGAAAGACTCAACTAGGGTAAATGAGGCTTCCTGTTGCTCCCCAGAACAGCCTCATCCAGTTGGGCTGATGGCTACCAGGAACAAGGGGGACTGGTTGAACTACCAGGCACTGGCCTTGAGAAGGTGGCCGAACAAGTCATCGAGTCCTGTTCTGAGGAGCCAGCAACATCAAGCTGGTGCGGATGCCAGGCATGCACGGGAGGAAGATCCTGGCTGCTGGGCTGCAGGCTCATCTTGAGTAAAAGAAGTAAAAATGCCCCAAGGGCAAAGGAAATTATTCCAAGAAAGGGAGCTGGAGGAGTGGTCCTGGGTGCCAGTCCTACAGTGGCAGGAAGCTAAAACCGAGGGCATGGGGAGTGGCCAGGAGCCCGGAGGCCAGGGGTGAGGGTCTGGGATCGGGATGCAGTGAAAGGTTCTAGACAGGCTGTGGGAGATACCAGGCTGTGGCAAGCCTTCTGACTTCCAACAATTCCCAGGGATTTGCTGGGCTTGTTCCTCTAGGATGTTTCCAGTTCCGTCTCTTCCCTCTGGTTCTTTCCCATGATGCCCCAACAGGAGCTTCTCCTTTCTAATTCTGCCCCATGTTCAAGGCCCCCTCGCACTGGACCATCTCCAGGAAACTGTCCACGCACCCCATGCCCCTGGTCCATTCTCCTGTCCCACCTCTTCAGATTCACAGGCACCTACAATCTGGACTAAAGAACTTTCGAATGCTTGCCATTGTTCCAATATTTTGATTTTTTTCACCCCACTTAGACTGTAATCCTTTCTCGAGTAACAGCTAAGATTGTTTTCTTTAATGTCCGTTTCAGCATAAAAAAATGTTCTAAAAGCTCCAAGTAACTTTTACTCTGAGGGTTCCCAAATGGAGTGTAAAAATTCCTGGGAGCTCAGGGGTGCCTGGCTGGCTCTGTCAGTTAAGTATCCAACTCTTGATATCGGCTCAGGTCTTGATCCCACAGTCGTGAGTTCGAGTCCCACATTGGGCTCCACCCTGGGCATGGAGCCTACTTAAAAATAACAATAATAATAATAAAAAATTCCTGGGAGCTCAGAGGTCGGGAGTGGTTTCTTCTTTTAAATGAAGACAATAATACCAACCTCAAAGAGTTGTTTGATGGATTGAGATAACGGGTATAAGTCTGCTGAGTTGAAAAGACAATCTGGCAGAAGAGAAGGAAAAGGCATTTGGAACTGATAGGGGCCTAAGGCAGAAGGAAAAGGAATTCTATGGGGGAATGTGAAGAATTGCTAGTGAAACTGATGAAGTCAGTGTCTCCTGTGTGTCAGGCACAGTGCTAGGCGCTTCATCTATATGATGTACAGGACGCTGGTGAAGAGCACCCGTCCTGGACCCAGGCTACTGGGTTCCAATCCCAGTTCCATCTGGTACCAGCTGTGTGAGCTGTTAAGTTATTTAAAATGTCTACGGTGTATTTTCTTCAACTTTAAACTGGGATAATTTAAAGCAGGAGTTGGCAAATTTTTTTTTTTCTGCAAAGGGCCAGATAGTAAATATTTCAGGGTTTCTGGGACACAGCTTCTGTTACAACGACTCAACCCCGCAGTTGTAGCGTGAAAGCAGCCACAGACTCTATGTGAGCAAACGGGCATGACGGTCTTCCAATAAAACATTATTTGCAAAAACGGGCAGTGGGCAAGAATCGGCCCACAGGGAGTGGTTTGCCAACCTCTAATACAGAATCTCCCTCATGAGGTCCGGAGGACTGAAGAGCTAATAAAGCTTATGCTGTTAGAACAGCACCCTGTACACAGTAACCACTCCACAAAGGTTAGCTGTTATTATTATAATGAATCCGTGCAATAGGTGTTGGAATGCCCTCTTCCAGGGAAGAAAACCAAAGTTCAGAAATGACTGAATAACTTCTCCAAGACCCGGTGTCTTCTACGAGTGGCAGGGTCAGACTCGGAGCACAGACTTGTGGGACTCTAAAGTCTATAGCTGTGCACTGTGCCTTTTGTCAACTTCAAGGATCTTATAAGAACCGAGACCTTATTTCATAGACCCAAAGGGAAACTTGCTCTAGGCCTGTATGTGCAAGTGTTTTGGGACTTGACTCAAACACAGGACACACACTCTAATCAGGCCTGAGATCCAGATGGGTATTGTCGGAAAAGTCCCCAATTTACTTCCTTTCAATCCTGATTCCAGTCCGTGGAGAACAGGTGTGGAATCCGTGTTCACTACCCTCTTGGGCGGTTACACCGTCTCAGCCCTCCCTGGCCTGGGCGTCGGTTTCCTATGGCACCGGTGGATCAGCTGCCTTTGGGGAGCCCTAATTAAGTGCACAAATAGGGCAGCCTTCCCAAATCCCAAATTAGTTCTGCTTTGGAATGCCAGAACTTTTTGACCATGGAAAAAGGCTTCATGCCCTGACTCTTAACAAACCCAGCAAGTTCAAATGCATTTCTGAGGTGGGGGGTTGGGGGTCAAGAATCCCAAGCTGTTATGTGAGAAGGCAAGGAAAGAAAGGGCTTTTCTTGAAAGGGGGAAACAAAGGGCATGCAGAAATGTCACCAAAATACCCTGCAAACTCTCTAGCTTGCCCCAAGTTGTTCTTTTGTCTGAAATCCTTGAAACTGTGATTTATGTAACTGTTTCCTCAGGTCAAAGATTGGCTTCTTAAGCCTGAGACTATGAAGCCAGTGACAGCAAAGATTTCTTTCCATATATCAAATATGTGGAATAAAAAGAAAAAAAAAGAATCCTTGTTAAATGGTACAGACTTGGTGCATTTCAAAACTAGCCACCTTTCGGTTTTATCACTATTTTTCTCTCCTCCTCTTCTCCTTCCTCCTCCTTTCCTCCTTCCACCCTAAAGCCAAGGCTACCACTCAGTCTATTCTAGGGAAAGCCTCGCTGGTTCTGTAGCTGAGAAGACACTGTAATGATGGGTTTTGGGCATGTGGATTTAACGGCAATCAGCCGTCTCCTTTATGTTTAATTCCACATCTTCTGGAGTAAAAACCAGTTAGGCTGCAATACCCCAAAGGCACTGTATGCTGTCTACTTCCAGAGTTCAGTGGACCACTGTGTTGATATATTTTCCCTCATCAAAGGATGGAAAGTGGCTTGGCCTTCAACTTGATGTTCCTCCAAGACAATGCAATGGTAGAAGCCACTGGGCTGGGAGTCACACAGATCCATCCGCCACTGTCTTTGAAGCCTAGAATCTAAGTGGATCTTCTGGGCTCCAGACTGACACATGCAGCCCTTCCACTGGCCGCCATAGGCTTTTCTGCCCAGGGGAATGACAGCCTCTATGGGGCTTGCTGTCTCAGGAGAGATGAATGGACCTTTAATTAGGGTGGCCATAGTTTTATTATTATCCCAATAAAATTCACCTTTGAGTCCTAACACTTTTTTAAAAAAGATTTTATTTATTAGAGAGAGAGAGAGAGAGGATGAGAGAGAGAGCATGAGAGGGGGCAGGGTCAGAGAGAGAAGCAGACTCCCCGCTGAGCGGGGAGCCCGATGGGGACTCAATCCTGGGACTCCAGGATCATGACCTGAGCCGAAGGCAGACACTTAACCAACTGAGCCACCCATGCGCCCCTGAGTCCTAACACTTTTAATGATAGATTATTAATAATTATACCAGGACATAAGACATAGGCTGGGTCTGTATGGGATGTATTAGCGCCCTTCCTCGGGGGCTGTCAATGGTTGGGCGGTTTGGGGAAGTAATTGTCACCAGACCCCGTTCTCTCTAGAGTCACAGGAAACGGGGAGGTTTCAAACTTTTAATTTTGATTTCCATGCCCTTATTTTGTGTTGCCTCTTCTGACAGACTCCACCAGAATTCAGACTTCACAAAAGTGACGATGAACCTAGAAAATACTGAAGCATACAACAATACCCACTGTATGGAACCTTTCTGATGCTGGGGACTGGGGAAAAGGCTCCTTCCCACAAGCAGGAAGGGCTGTCTTCCTGTAAGGCCGAGCTTGGGAGCTCCCAAATTTTGGGCCAGGAAGATAACCAAACTTTCTGGAAACCAGCTTTTTATTTTGCCACATAAGGACTTTAAAAATAAAACGTATAAAAAAAAACCCACCCCTCAACATTTACTTGGACATTCATTATGCCATAATGAATAGGACATCTGATAAAAAAAAAAAAAGTTACTGTGACCTCAGAATAGATCGATTTACATTTAGCTTTGTTAGAAACTCAATACACTCCTCTTATTCTCTCTATTCTCATTGGCTAGTGAAACTTTGTTGAGGGCCTGCAGTGAGGGCCTGCTTCATGGGTGTGTCCTCTGTGGTGTCGCCCAGGGCCCCATGTCAGGAAGAGCCCAAGTGTGGGGCTTAGTGATCCGTGGTCACTGTCTTGAAATTCTTAATAATTTTATTTTTGAATCTGTGCTTTGCAAGTGAAGGCTGATGGGACAATGGAGTGTGGGCTGGGGGGTCTGCTGCCGCCTTTCCTTTCCTGGAGCTGATTCTTGACTGTCTGCTCCCTGCCTTCTGCCCTAATCCACACCCCACTGCTGACCCTGCACCTCGGGGGTGGTGACAGGGCTACATGAGGTGGGGGGCATGCAGGGGCAAGCACAGGTGTGGGGAGAGCCAGGCCAGGTGACGAGCCTGGGGTGTCTCAGGGTGGGGCAAGTCAATGGCTCTCCCTGCCACCTCCACTGCCACGGGGTGTGGGGGGAATCACTGGGAAACTGGAACCCCTGGGGGTCACCTGTCAGCCAGGAGCCAAGGCAGCAGGCCTGTGGGAAGGGGAGACTTCCCTGTCCCTGGCCAGGGCCTCCCATTCTCATTTGGCACTGGATCCCACAAGTTATGCAGTGGGTTCTGCCTGCAGTAGCCCTCAGTGACATCTGAGAACTACTGGACTACTCACAGACCCTGGTCCCTAAATAGCTCCCCCTTCCTCTCACCTGTGAGTAGACTCTGTGATTCCCAGACTTTCTTGGGGAGGGCCAGTTTCCCCCGGCGCTCGGCACTGGCTTGTTGGGAGCCATTTTATACTTGGCCTGGCCTGGGCGGCAAACTGTCATTTTTACCATCCTTCCCCGGCGGGCGGCACTTCACGGTTTAGAAAGCACTCTTCTCGTGTGTGTGTGTGTGTGTGTGTGTGTGTGTGTGTGTGTGTGCGCGCGCGTGTGTGTGTGCGTGCGTGTGCGTGTGCGCGCACAGGCTCATTAATCTCACTTCCTCCAGCTGGGGGAACCTGAAAGAGTTTATACTTCAGATATTCAGACAAATCTAGGTTCAGGTCCAGGTCTCTCACCTTCCAGCTCTGTAGCATGGAGCAAGTGATTTGCCTTTTTCTCAACTTCGAATTCCTCAATTTGTAAAAGGAAATATTAGCATCTACCTACCACAAATATGCTAATTTACAGATTAAATGTGGCTACATAGCCAAGTGACAGGCAATCAGTTAAGAGATGAGGAATGATGCCCCAGGCATCCTCCTGGCTGAGGGGACTGCCCACTGTTGCCCTAAGAAGGGAAAGGCCTTGGATAGGTGAGCGGCGAGAACTCTGGACATCAGAGAAAATGCTTCTCAAGGAACGAGATTTGAGCACACGGGCCTAGTTACTTTGACAGGTGAGAAGAAGTGCTGAAATTGGGGTTAGAGTAGAAAGCATCGAGTATAAACACAACCTCCTTCCCATCGCTCCCACATTCCTGTCCTGCCTTTTGGAGAGGCAAGCAGACCTGTGATCGCACTGGAAAGGATCCGGAGGTAGGGCAGCATTAGACACGTTTGGGATGAAGACCCTGATTCCAGTCTCAGGTTGTTTCTCTACAACCTTGGGAACATCGCTTCCCACTTGGGAACCAAATGTCCCTTTTAAACGTATTAGAACCAAATGTCTTTTAAGCGCATTAGACTAGATGACTTGCTCAAACTTATTTTGGCTTTGATAGAGAAAGGTTGGCTGTAGAAACATATTTTGTAACACGCTGGACATGCCTGCAGAACTAGGGTGGGCCCTGTCAAAGCAGTGGCCTCTCGTCCAGGGATGCTGCTGATTCCTGGAGCAAAGCCGTCGGCTGGGGCTCCGCAGTGGCGGGTGTCTGAGGATTCCCGCATCTTCATTCGCGCCCAAGGCACATGCACATCCTCGGAATGGGCTGTGACTGACTTCGTGATTCAACCATCTTCATGTGGGGTGTTTCAACAGTCACCTCCAAACAGAAGGAACACAGTGGGCTGTTGTGATGGGAATTCTGGGGAATACTATTTATGGCTGTGTTTTGGTTTACCTTTGGCCTAGTACACAGGGTACAGTTGGAAATGGTCTCAGCTGAAAACACTCTTTTGTCTTTCAGGGCAAAATTTTACATGCAGCCTTTTGGCTCCAGGCCTCTAGTGCCCCTGCCCCTGCCTCCTCTAGTCTCTCGCAGAGAAACAGGGTCATCCTCCGCTCCCTCTCACTTGGCCTATGAGTCATTCGCAACAGAGGCAGGACATATATATATTAACAGCATCTCATGAAGGATTTGGGGCCAGACAGACCCGGGCTCAAATTCCAGTTTCTCCACTTTTTAGTTGTGTGACCCTGAGCAAGTCACTGAACCTCTCTGACCCTTAATTTCACCAGGTAAAAACGGGAAATAATAGTATCTACCCAAGAGGACTGTTTTCAGAATTAAAATGAGATGCATCACTGCAGATAGATCCTGATCGATCTGCTTAGTTGTGTTTTTCTCTCTGCCCTAATCATTTTGGCTTGTTCCATAGAAACCAAGCTTCTGTTCCAGATGCACCAGAGTGGACTGGGCTGGGGATGTGGCTGTACAGCCATTCCTTCTGCCTGGGGAACCCTGTCTGCAGGCAGGGATCCTCCCATAGATGGACAGGAGACGTGAGTATCAATAATAGCTCATTTTAGTAAGCATTTTCTATGTGCCCAATTTATTACCATTTCCCCCTTATAAGAAGCGTAGAGGTAGGCACCATTACCCATCCAGTTTTATAGATCAGGAAATTGCATGTTGGAGAGGTTAAGTACAAGGTCCCAGGCCCAAGAGTGGTAGAGGCTGAATACTAACTCAGTGTCTGGACTCTAGAACCTTCTCTTGCACTCACCAGCCTCCCTGTATGTTCACTCCTGTCCTTCTCTAGAATCATCACCAGAGTAGCCACCACTGATTGAATACCTATCATCAGTACAGACGTTATCCCATGGGACTTTCCCAGTAATCCCACGAAGGAGCTGTTTTCACACCCATTGTATAAATGAGAAAGCTGAGGTCAGAATATGTAGGTCATGCAGAGTCAACTGGCCATGAAAGGAGGAGATGGAACTCAGACACCATTTATGTTCTCCTTGTAGTTCCTTGAACACTATGCCATGGGCCACCTGCTTTATAAACATTAACTCTTGTAAGAGCTCCATGAGGTAGGGTATACTAGAATTCCCATCTTACAGATAGGAAGACGGAGGCAGAGAGAAATTAAGAAACTCCCACAAGGAAGAGTGGCAGAGCTGGATTTTGAAGCCATGTAGTCCAGCTCAAGTGTCTGAGCTCCCAGCCTCTAGCACTATGTTGATATAAGAAGTGAACGATGCCAGGCAAGATGAGGGGAAGTGAGGAGGGTTTCAGATGCAGAGGCAATTATCTCTGCATGAGTAAAAGGCTCAGTGAGCCCAGGAACTTCAAAAGCTCTGGGAGAAGAAACTCTCCACCCACATGGATTGAAGCAGTCCTCCAGAGCCCTGGCTTTCTCCTCCAAAAGGGGTCGGCCACCCTGGAGAATTTTCCAGCACTGAGCAATGGTGTAGGTGTTTTGTTTCCCTTAGGCCCATGAGATGCATCATGAGGAAATTGCCTTAGACTCTTGAGCAAGCTGATTCCACTATTCAGCTACAAAATCCTCAGAAGAGATGGAAGTCAACAGTTTTAAATGACCAGTTATATTTAAATATCCAGCGGGGGGAAAAAGGCCTTTTTGTCAGGAAAGACAGAAACAAACATGTATTGAGTAGTGACCACATGCTGAAACGTGGGAGTTGTTAAACCTCATAATAACCTTTGAAATGGTGATTCACCCCATTTTACAGAGAAATAAACCAAGGCACAGAGCAGCAAAGTGATGTCCCAAAATCGAGTGGCAAGTAAAGCACCCTGGATATGGTCCAAGGCCCATATATACATGACTTTAGGTTGCATGCTCTCAGCTGATCTCTGTGGCCACTCATTTGCCTATGACTGATCCATATGGTTTTAGAATTTTTCCATAATTAATGGTGAAATTACCAAGAATGTCTGCATAAACCCACAGACTGTTCTGCTAACCTGGTGTGTTCTGGTCTAAAATGTTAACATTCTGAAAAATAGTTTTAGGAGAAAAAATACTTTACAGGGAACATTTCCAAGAAATCCCAAAGTCATAAAGACAGAGAATAACAGATGTGAGTATATGAAAATTTAAAACTCCTGCACAGGACATCATAAGCTGAGGTAGATGGTATGGGACATATTATAAGAAAGTCTTCAATATATATGACAAACAAAAGATGGATATACAGAGCATACAAAGAACTCCAAATCAGTGAGAAAAAGGCAAATAACCCCATAGGAAAATGAAAAAAGGATATTAATAGGCCATTAACAGAAAACAGAAATCAAGTGACCAAGGATATAAAGAAAATGTTCATTCTTAACTAGTAACAGAGCAAAGGCAAACAACAATGAACAGTCATTTTCTGCCCAAGAAATTGGCAAAAATGTTAAACGACTGACAATACCCAGTGTTGGCAAAGGAACAGGGATCCTGCTGGCAGGAATACAAATCGGGAGAGCCTATTTGGAGGACATTTTGGTCACAGTTAACAACATTTTAAAAATGCACAATCCTTCCAGTAGTAATTCTACTTTTTCATATCTCTCCAAGAGACATTTTCGTACTTATATATATAAAGAACCATACCAAGGAGGATCCCTGTATCACCGTTTATAAAAGCTACATACTAAAAACCACCTAAGTGTCTATCAACAGGACAATGGTTAAATAAATTTTTAATATACTGGGACTCTGGAATTACTACCAGTATGTAACAGACACGGGGCAGCTCTATGTGCAGTAACACACTCCAAAATATCTTGTGAGAACAAAGTTGCAGAACAATTTGTACCATATGATCCTATATAGGCACATCTGTATGTCTGTGAAAGCATTAAAAAGGCTAAGAAAACATACACAACGTATAACAGTGATCACCTCTAGGAGAAGAGAGGTTTGTGTCTTTTGTCTTTTACTCTACAGTTCTATACTCTTGGAGTTTTCACGATGTAGGTCTACTCCTATCATTTCTCACGTACCTAAAAAGAGCAATTTGGCCACAGAGACAGAGCCACTTGCCGTGTTCTCTGAGTTTTGTTCACCCAGGACTGAGAAATTCTCTGACTCAGGGCTGAGGCTTCCTCCTCTGCTGAGGGAAGTGGAAAGCAGCTCTCTTGGAAGCTGCCTTTCCCTCCTTCTCTCTCTCGGTTCCAAAGGTGCTTACACGTCGGAACATGTGTGTGCACACGTACCCCTTCTCTTGTACACGGCGTCACTCAGAATAACTTCTGCATAGACTAGTGCACGGCTCGAGAACTTCTGAATCATGGACCAAAGTGATTCTTGTCATCTTGATAAAACTTGTACACAATCACACCCCGATACGACCACAACAAAAATAACAAATTGTCAGGCCCCGTCAGCACCAGCCTTGATTTAAACCATGGGGTCCGACGGGCACATATTGGATGTGAAGTTCCTTAAATAATGGCTCTGCTGGCCTAAAACATATCAGATGTTCCTTTAGCCCTAGCTCGCCCAAGACATAAACTATGTGTTCAGGGGAAAGCAAAGTCAAATGACTCATGACAGAGTTTGTTTTTAGTATGAATTATTTTTTCTGGCTCCTTGCTTTTAAAGACAGATCCTTTTCAGATGGGCTGAAGCAAGGGCTGCTGGGAGCTGGGCTCAGCAGCCTTGCCTTCCCACTGCTTCTGAAAGCAAGACATGGAGCCCCAAGCAGAGAGCTCTATTCCCCATCAAGTTCATGCCCATTATGCATCTTCTTCTTCTCAAACCAAACCACGTGAGGGCAGTCTCGTGGTAGCTGGGTGAGCTGATGGAAAGAGCACTGGATTTGGGGCCCAGGAAAACTGAGCTCCGTTTTCCGCCTGCCATTTACTGGTGGCGTGATGCTGGGAAAGTCACGTGACTTCTCTGGGCTGCAGTTTCCTCGGGTGTGAAATGGGCAGAATAAGCATCACATTGGATGGTGGTGGGAATTCACTGAGGTAATCCAGTCAAGGTGTCTGCCCCCCAGGAGGCACTCACTTAATGGCCCTGGACTGGCCTCCTCAGGGCAGAGGTGGCGTTCTATTTGCCTCAGTACCCCCACTGTTTGCCCGAGCATGGGGCAGAAAATGCTTAAGGGACGAAGGCAGCAATGTACTTTGTACTTGCGACATGCCAGGCGCTATTTTCACTGCTTTATAAAAATTATCTCATTAATGCTGCAATTAACCCTATGAGGTAGAAAGAAATGCTATCCGCATTTCTTGATTAATGAAACAGGCACAGAGAGATTAGGAGAGCTGACTGAGGCCACGGAGGTGCTTAGTAGAGGGGCCGGGATCTGAAGGCTTGCTCTCTGGCTCCAGCCAGAGCAGGAAGAGGAGAGGGAACACGGGCAGAGTGGAGGCTCCCCGTGTGGAATCAGAGGGAAGGCTGCATCAGGAAGAGCCTACCTCTCGGATCACTTTAGAAGAACAGGTACACGGGAAGGAGAAGGACATCAGGAGTACGGTCATTCGTGGCCCTGCCAGAGCACAGGGAATGGACAACCAGAACCTACCCATGAACGTGGCAGATTAGGACACCTTCTCAGGGGCCTCTGGGCCTGGAGATGCCCATGTTTTTGAAGGAACAAGTACCTCAGGACAGAGCTGTTGCCCAAGAAGGATGAGGGAGCTGCCCTGCTGGTGCCCATGCATGTTCACCATCTCCCTCTCCTCGGCAGACAGAACTAAAATGAACACAGAATTCCAGGGCTGGAAGGGCCCTTGGACATTGCACTCCCCTGTACAGGTTAGAGAAACCTTACTTGCTTAGTGCCACACTACAAGTTAATGGTAGAGCAAAGACTGGAACCCAGATCCCTACTCCCCAAGCCAGCAATCTG